TCAAATAAAATTTGAAAAAATACAGTCAATCGAATTTATATGTTTAACATTCAAAGAAAATAAGTGAAGTCTTTCATTTCAAATTTTCTTTAAAAGGCATAGTTTTTTGTATGTCAATGTTAACACAGCTATCGCAAGCATGAAAATAAATTAAAGTAATGTTTAAGGATCAAATGACATGTAAGGCCTCAGTAGGAATATTATGTATGAACAAAGAACAAATTTAATTATTGGATTGATATGTGTTAGAACGACTTCTATAATCATAACTAGCTGATTCGGTCCCGTTTCATTGTGGCTTTATCTTGATAAGACCAAACAATATGTATACCGTCAAAAAGGAACTATTGTTCGGTGCAATAATTTTTAAAACTGTAAAGCACCTTTGTTTTGAGATTCATAGTTTTATATGAAAACTAGTATATATTGTATTTATACAATTATTTGAACCGTGTTTGTAGTAGTTCCAAACTGAAAAGCTAATTTAATTTGTTTCATAACTAAACAGTCAGAAAGGAACAAAAAAGCAATTCCATTTGATAGAATCCTTAATTGAAGGAGATAACCCCAGCTATGCTTTAGCTTGTTTTTTTTTTTTTTTTATCTAAAACTAAAATATTTTAATTTTGTTATATTCATAGAATATTTATACGTGGAAAGCTTCTGAGTGGAAAGGTTTAGTCATGTTTGGCGTAGTTCGAGGCTTTGGTCCCCGCGGTACCGAGTTCATACCCCTCCAACCACCGCCTGTTAGCTATCTCATATTTATATTGTTGACGCTCTATGCCTATCCTGAATTAATGTGTACCGGATACAAATTTGCGAAGTATGTCGGTGTACAGCAACGGGGTTTGTTTCAATAAATTAGTTAAGTTAATTACATTTCTTTTGTTAGTTCAATGTAAACTATTTAGGCTTCTTGTTTTACTTACATTTTGACAACGCTAGACGTTAAACGGTTTTTACATTATCCCTCTAGTACATCTTCAATAACATAATCAAGTTTTGCAGTGTTAATTGAAATTATTTACAATTATTGCCGGTTAATTTGCCTCAGATAATTTTATTCGATACAATAAGCCCCTCACAGCAAAACATCGCCAGTACATCGTAGACAGTGAATATATATTTTATTTAGAAGGTTAAATAAAATAAATAAAATTAAATAAAAGGTTAAGTTCATTATACGCGGATCTAAATCAACATGAGGTCTCAGAGGGGTAGTTTTAGTTTCATTAAAACTCATCCGTTAATGATTGTTTACGCTCGCATTGTGCGTGGATGTAATTACTTTTAACCCTCTCCCCCCCCCCCCTAATGTGCCATCCAACCCCCCTCCCCTTCAACCGTCTCATCAGACACCACTGTTTTGAGTTATGATGTCGAGAACAAAGTAAGTAACCGTAACACATTTGAAAGATTAAATTTATTCAAACAATAATATTACATACTTGAGATTATTAATTACCACTTTTAGCCCACAAAGATGTCCCTCGTACTTTAATAACTACTTTTATGTGATTAGATTTATTTAATTATAAAATCTAACTCATATAAAATTTATTCATGGTTGATATTTACCCATGAGACATTAATCCCATGAAACAAAAAATGCATTACTCATAACACATTTTTCTGTTTAGTTTCGTTCCTCTAACTTTAAAGTTAATATTTGACTAAGTACACTTTAAATGATTTTCGTTTGAACTCAAACTTAAACGTAAATATATGTTTTAGCTGTTTTGATTTTTTTGTATTATATGGCTTTTTATTTACTAGTATGTATTAAAAAAATTCGTTTATTTTCTTATTGATTTTTTGTTTAATCAGTAGGGAATATTACCACAGACACGAATAAAATATAAAAGTTCAAATTAATAAACAACAACAAGCATTTAAGCATATTTTTAGTTTTTACTACCATGAGTACGTTATAAATTTCTTAAGTTTGACATTATTTCCACCTCAATACAGAAAAAATGTTTTAAAAGATTGCCATTTCTTCGTATTTCAATTATATTTTTAACTCTCTAAATTAGTACGAAATACTTTTATGACTGTATTAAATACACTTAAATATTTGCTTCGATCATTAATTATTCTTTGGCATTAGTCTTGTGTCTAAAACTCTTTGTAAAACGAATACTGAAATTCCCACTCGAAATAGGAACTTAAAATTCATCTATGTGGGTTACAAAAGGCGCTAAACTAGAATCGGACTCTAAGGCGGTTCCATGATTCAATTTGTCAACCACGAAAGCAACAATGGCGACATCTTGGAGCCAATTTGTCAACCAACTTGAGGTCGGGGCGACAATAGCAACAGACGCGTCCCGAGCGACTAAATCCCCTGAAATTCCTGCAACTTTGGCAAACCATTCTGGATTTGAATATTAAATATATTTATAAAATGTGGTCTATAAAAATGGTAGGGATGAAGTCCATAAACAAATCCACAGACCACTATGATTCTATTGAAAGTGAAACTACTCCAAGTACTTTATAAGTATTTTGATGACAAGGCCTTTGTATTACCAAGACGCCTAAAAATTGCTAATAATACCCGTTTATAGTGATGATTTCAATTGTGTTCAGCAATTAATTAACCATTAATTGGCGCGATCTTCACACTGTTCTTGAATATCCTAATTCTCCTAAAGATCGTCATATTTCTAAATGAAAAAGTACACTTATTAACAAACACATACACAAACACGTGCACAAACTAAATAACAGAAACACATCATCTTCATGTCATGCTTGGCCACGCGATGGTGGTCTTCAGCGAAAGATCATCAAAATACAAGAGCCCTAAGCCTCGGTCTCGGGACAAAAAGAGCCAATATTTACACATTTTTGTTCAAAATAAGAAAACAATTAAATTAAAATGAAGGAAAACATGATATGTTTTCCTTTATAATTAGTACCTATTTCCATTTTGAAATTATTACAAAAGTGGTTTTACCACAAACCAAGATGCTAAAATGAAAAAGCAACACTTGAAAGGGCACTGTTGAAAGGGAAACTCGTAATCAACTACAAATTAAACTATTTATTAAGACATTTCCGAAATAATTCAATGTAAAGTGGTTAATACCCGTAAACAGTTTGGGATAAACCGGACAAACACGAAGAGCAGAGGCTCAAGAGAGCTCTGAACCAATTTGTCAGCGTGGCTTAACCACAACCCTCTAGACATCTGTTGGGTCCCAAGAGAATTGAGATCACTTGCACCACTAACTCATCGAACCACAAGTATACAACTTGCTTGACATCTCTCCTTTGTGTATAATTACTTGTTGAACACTACTCACTATGTTATAGCTTGTTGTATACTCCTTAGTAACTCATTAAATCACAAGTATAGAACTTGCATGACATCTCTCCTTTGTGTGTTATTAATGTTAAAGCTTGTTGTTTATTCCTTAGTAACTCATTAAATCACAAGTATACAACTTGCTTGACATCTCTCCTTTGTGTGTAATTACTTGTCGAACACTACTCACTATGTTATAGCTTGTTGTATACCCCTTAGTAGCTCATTAAATCACAAGTATACAACTTGCTTGACATATCTCTCCTTTGTGTGTAATTACTTGTCGAACACTACTCACTATGTTATAGCTTGTTGTATACCCCTTAGTAACTCATTAAATCACAAGTATACATCTTGCTTGACATATCTCTCCTTTGTGTGTAATTACTTGTCGAACACTTCTCACTATGTTAAAGCTTGTTGTTTATTCCTTAGTAACTCATTAAATCACAAGTATACAACTTGCTTGACATCTCTCCTTTGTGTGTAATTACTTGTCGAACACTACTCACTATGTTATAGCTTGTTGTATACCCCTTAGTAGCTCATTAAATCACAAGTATACAACTTGCTTGACATGTCTCTCCTTTGTGTGTAATTACTTGTCGAACACTACTCACTATGTTAAAGCTTGTTTTTTACTCCTTAGTAACTCATCGAGTCAGAAGTATACAGCTTGCTTGACATCTCTCCTTTGTGTGTATTTACTTGTTGAACACAACTCACAATTTCGAAGCTTGTTGTTTATTCCTTAGTAACTCATTAAATCACAAGTATGCAACTTGCTTAACATCTCTCCTTTGTTTGTAATTACTCGTCGAACACTACTCACTATGTTATAGCTTGTTGCATACTCCTTAGTAACTCATTAAATCACAAGTATACAACTTGCTTGACATCTCTCCTTTGTGTGTAATTACTTCTTGAGCACAACTCACTGTAAAGCTTGGTGTATACACCTTAATAACTCATCAAATCGAACAATGACAATACAATTTGCTCCGTAACCCTCTTCTGGATTTTTTAACTTAACACAACTTGTACATTAAAATTAGCTACAAGTATCAATCTTGTTTCACCACCCTCAAAAATTTAATAATTTAAAAATAAAAAAAATTTAATTTAATAATTTAATTTAAAAATTTTAATTCCCGCTGTGAATTGTTTGTATGTAAACTTATGATTTATAACGATTTTAAGGACAAAATCTAATTATTTTTCCCTGATCTTGGGGTATATCTTGGGCAAATTTGGGTATATTTGTTTCAATTTTTATACGATACGATAGTCTTTACCAACAATTTACCACTTTTTTGATTCCTAAATCTTTAACGATTTCAAGTTTTTATTGGTGGATTTCTAATCTTACTCATCTAAAAGTATATGAATTGAGTTTTGATTAGCTGAGCTTACTGCGCAATTCAAGTTATATATTTTATATGCTGTTTTTATTTCTTATGTTTTTTCTTTGGTGGTTTCGTGACTTCACAATAAACAGACACTATAGATGTGAATAAAGATATATCCATTCATTTATCCATGTCAGTGCCAATAAAATCTTGCAGATGTTGCGATTGTTGTTCGTTTTCGTATAAATTAATATTTAATCAAATCGAAAACGTACAGATTTCAACAGCCTAAGATCTGTAGTTTCTACAGCCTTTATGACTTTTTCAGTGTGATTGTAATTGTGTACTAACAATGATCTACTACTGGGTTAAGTGCAATTTAAAGTGTAAGTGCAAGTCCAAGTGTTGATGTAGTTTGGAGCTATGGTTGGTTCTTCTGCTCCCCAGCAGATCGCCTTGATTTGCCTTCTCATGTCCTCGACCTTCTGCATATCTTCCACTGTCGACCAAGGTAAGAATTAATTTTGTTGTACCTTTTATCAGATTATTTCTGTTTTTCAATCGAAATTTATATAATTCATTTTTAGTAAATATTGTTTTGTATATTTAAAGAAATTACTTAAAAAGGGATGTTGAATAGAAAATTGATTTTTCCCAACGTAAATATAAAATCATTCCCATCATAACGTTTTGGTATGCAGTATACAGAATGGTTGGTCATCAGTGCTACACACATTTTTTGGTGTAAATACAAAGTAAATTGAGTGTTATGATGCATATTAAGGGTTCCAAGTCAAAAAATTTGCTTCCCAAAGAATGTTTTTTTAATAACACAATACAATGTTTTTGAACACAATACAGCAATTTCTCAATTAACTTCAAACGGATTTGCGTAGATGATGTAATTTTCTTGTCTTACGTTAAATTTTGAATAAGAATCATTGTAAACGTCAGAGGATCAATTAAAAAAGCTCCATTGTAAATCGTTCCAAAAGAAAAATTAGGGTCTTTGATAAAAATCATTGGTCTATTGCATTTTACTACACCCTGTATACAAGAAGGTAGCAACATATTTTGAAAACTGCGCCATTCATAAGGCTTCCCAACCATGCTACACTGTTGAGGTTTGGATCTGCTTATTTTTGCTTTAATGGTTTGAAGACTCCAAAACACAGGGTTTTTACATTTTAAACAAAGTAGGGATGTATTCAGCATAGTCCAGGCATTGTAGGTAGAATACCCATCTGCCTGGAAATAATTCCCTAAGTGGTGAAACTTTGCACATGTGTAGTACTAGTACCCAGTAACAACATATCAAAAATCAACATTCGTGAATACAGTGCTACGGCCACCATCATGGAAAATGGCGGCCGATTTTCATATTTTTGCTGCCCTTTTGTCAATATTTACCAACCAATGGAAATACAGAAATCTTGTTAAAACAAAAGTTAAAGAACGCACTAAAATGCATCTATTAGATCTTACTATTTTTGCCCTATCTCTAACGGTTATTTAGAAAATTTAAATTGATATTAATAAAACGTCAATTTAGTTTGATTTCTGTCAGTTTATTTATTTCTTTATATACATAACATTTGGTTTAACGAGTTCCTAGGTTTGCTGCTACAGGTAGAGCGATAAAGTGTGTTCTCCACCATTTTAGGGAATTATTTCCATCTAAAACCCTAAAATGACTGGACTAGCAAAACTTGTATTTTTTCAGTTTGAACGATACAAACTTAAAAACAGTAAAATAATCCTTGTGTTTTCTAGTATTCAAAACACTGGAACAAGCAAATGGAGATCAAAACCTTATTGTGTACACCTTATAGTGTAGCATATGGTTGGAAAGCTTAATGAATGGCGCAGTTTTCAACATATTTTCCTACATTCTCGTGTACAGGGTGTAGAAAATGCAATAGTCCGATAATTTTTTAATTTTTATCAAATGCCTTATTTAATCCTTCTTTTAATCCTTGGAACGATTTATAATGGGGTTGTTATTATTATCGTCAAAAATTGTCAATGATTCTTATTCCAAATCTAACGAAGAACATGAAAATTACATCATCTACTCAAATCCGTTTGCAGGCAATTTATAAATTGCTGTATTGTGCTTTAAAACATGGTTATAAAAAAAATTTAAATAATTCTTTGGGAAGCCAATTATTAGACTTGGACCACCTTATATGCATCATAACACTCCGTTTACTTTGTACTTACACCAAAAACCTGTTGTAACACTGATGACCAGCCACCCTGTATAACCTACAGGCGAAGCAGAAACCATAATCATATACTAGCTAACACAAGTAGACTTTTGTATGTTTTATGTTGGGGACACTGAGCGCTAGAGCTAACGAAGCTGTTTTCTCTCATTTTATGGTTAGTTTTTTGATTTGTACTTTGTTGTTTGTTTAAAACCCAGAGGACCAGCTATTGTAATAGCTACTATAATAAGATTGATTGTATTTCCTTAGATGTGTTGTGAAATAACTAAACTAACAGGGAACAAATTGTAAACAAAATCACACCTCTAAATGAACCAGAAGGAACTAACATTAAAATTATCTTCAGCTGATCTACAAGTATGACAAATCCATAAGACAATCTACTCCATAAGACATATTCACATAAAAGTTGTGTGAAAAGTGGTCAAACTGCATAAAAACAAGTAGACAATTAAAATTATAACCTAGGGACTTTAGTAATGGTGCTTTCAAGAAGTTGGGAAACTGGTTCTGATTGAAATTCTTCTGTTATTGTCCTTTTAATTCTAAACGAAATAGTGCATCCCTTCATTCGTGTTAAAATTACTGTTCAAATGTTAGTGAAACTTTTGAGATGTTACCTATTACCTTAATGGTAAACACCATTAAGTTAACAGAAATCATGTTTAAAAACACGTTCCAACATTTTCAATTATCTAGATACTATACATATTACCAGTGTAGTTTAAAATGTGTATACATTATATTTTTTTATTATGTAACCATATTGTTTTTACAAATATCGATTACTAACCTACCAATTTGTTTGACTCGTGCCTAAAAAAAGTTCAGATATTTATGAAGACTTCATTTTTATTCGTGACGAAAAGATTAGTCAAATTTACTTGGACGAAATTTTCACTGTTTCGACCAATTAATTAATATAGAATAAATATTATATATTATATATATTATATTATATATATATATATATATATATATATATATATATTATTATATTAAAAATTATATATCGGGCCTATAGGTATTAAATATCAGAAAAACACATGATTCGAGAGTATTAAAAAAAGTGTTAAACACTGACTAAAGACTAATAAATATGTCATGAAATTGAATATTTCACAAATAAATAACGCAGACCACTACGATTCTAAATTAAACTTTCCTGTCAAAGTAGAAACTAAAATTGATCATTGAACTGATGTCATTTTTAGCACGTCCATTTTTATCCCCAATATTCCATTAATGCTATGGATAAATTATTTAAATATAGTGCTTTATAATCAACATACTTTGTTACTACAAACTATAAATCAATTCCATATTTGGTAGTGGACTAAATTAAACAATGTAGAGCAAAATATCAAACTTTCTTCTATAAATACGATTTTTGTGCCATTAGATGGTTTCCTCCAACATATCCTCATCATAGCCATAGACAAAAAGAATTAAATATAGACGGTCAGCCATGCTGCGGTTACCATTGTTACCATAGGTTCTGGCGCACACCGCTGGGAAAGCCATGTAGTTACGTAGCGCGTACGCCATAACAAATGGTGCTCCCAGCGGTGTGCGCCAGAACCTATGGTAACCGCAGCACAGCTGACGGTCTATATTAAATTCTTTTTGTATATGTCATGGCTCATATAGGTCATATAGCAGGTGCTTATGGGGATCGCCTTCAAATCTGAGAATCGTTGGGTCAATTCCCCGTGGAGTAGATGACCCAGATTTCGTTTGTCATTGGTCAAACAACTTTTTATGCTATCTTCTAAATGGCCGACATTAGACAACAAGACTAGAATTTAACCGTTTCACTTACAAAACACCATACGTGAATAATGCCAATAGCAGAAAATACACAAATCTAAGAAGTTTCATGTGTAGGAGGGTTAGAACTCCCACAACATGTGGGAACTACTTTGCAAACATTGACTGAGTATTTGTTCGAGATCTGTTTAACAAAACGAGATGTTCTGACATTATTTTCAGCTTTTGTTAATGTTCAGAATGCAACAATTTTCGCTTGTTTCATTCGATTACGTTGTTTTGCAGGTAAACTTTTGTAAACTGTTAGGATATTACATATGTTTTAAGAAAATTCTACTGTTAAAGCTTTTAACTAATGTCACTTAAATGTGTTTAGATAAATAAATGGTTTATGCTACTCATTGGATTGTGTGTATACTCGAAATTGACTACTTAAAATACTTGTATATCATGGATTTCATTTCTAAAAATTATTAAAAACTGCTTGATTATTTTCAATAGTTTATTTTTTATTTTTGCATATATTTGGATGAAGTAGTACATCTGTTGCTTATTCAATGTCTTGTTCTAACAGATGTGCAAGTAAATCCATGTAAACATTACTTCATATGGGTTTTGGACCACAAGATTAAGAAATTATTTCATATTAGAAATTTGTATGGGGTCCATGTAGATCAGTTTTATTGGCCAATAACTCGTAGTTGAGACGTCGTGGTGATTAAGGTAAAATAAACTACAACTGTAATTAGTCAATTTACATCGAGTGCGCTCTTCCTTATGCAGAACGCCAGCCAAATCGGAGCGGCAAAATGGATGCTGCATTCAGATTGCCGTACCTGACAAGAAGGCGCCAGATACAGTTGTATTTTACTTTTAACTTATTACTTTTATTTTAATTCTTAGCATACTTGACGAAAATCTAAAACAGAATATAATATTTGCCCACTCGAATGGCTTGTTTTAGACAATAGGCTGGAGGCTGGAATATATTTGAAAATATTCAGTCGCTGACCATTTATTTGATTTTCGTAAAATTGTATTTAATAAAAATATATTTAAGTTCATCATCTCTTCACATTCATGCCAAATTTCATCAAAATCGGACCAAAATTACCTGAGTTATTGTGTTCATGGACACAAATATCCAAATGTGTTTTATATAAACACAAATATAAAAATTTAAACGAGTAGTGAAAAAGTAATATGCTGTCCCATATTTTTTCCAAAGGCTTCTGGAACACGAGAATGAACCAGTAAATCGGTCCCGGACGTAAATGTTTCGTTGCCGCCTACGGTAATAGCTTCTTCCTAAAGGCAATTTGATAAAACGTACTTTTTCTCAGGATCTAACCTAAATCTTTTAAATACTAGATGAACACCATAACTTCAAAAAATTACATTTAATAAATGTAATCATACACATTCAATAAATATTTTTTTTATGTTGATGATTTAATATGTGTATCAGAATCGAATAATTTAAACTACAATTTCACAAACAAATTTGATTTGAATAGCGAATAGTTGAAAATCGACGGTTACTTGAGCCTCGATGTAAATAAAACAAGCAGAATATTCAGTTTTTTATAGTTGAAGGCGTAGTATTACCATTGACTATTTATAGTCAATGGTATTACATTGAAACTGTTTTTCCAATTCCCGCTTGTAATTCAATTCCATTTAATAGTGGGCATCCATACGTTGTTTTAGCGTCTTTTTATTCAACTCTAGGACTGAATTTGGCACGATTAAAGTTTGAAAAATAACACTTGCCATAAAACCCATGAAAGGTACAGATGGTTTTTAAAGAATTTTGTTTACAATTTTGATTAATTTGTTTAAAGCTACTATAGAATAATAGAATGTGCTGTTAAATCGCTATATTAATGCTCAAAGGACAGAATAACTATGATAAATATTAAAATATAAATAATTATTTATATTTTTTAGATTGAGATAATTTTGTTAAGAGAATGTTAATATTATTAAGATTTTAATATAAATAAATATATAAGATAGTAAATTATATGTTTAAAAAACAAAAGTCTATTTAGATAGATAATATAAAATCGAAAACGATTGATTTGAATAGGAGTTATTTTATGTATAATGTTATAATATAAGCAAACAATCAGGGCCAAGACAAAGCAATTGTTTAAAAATGCATATTTATAGGAATGAGGATTTACCCCCAAATGTTTATGAGAACAAGTTTTGTGTAAAATTTGAACAACAATGTTTTATTTATAAATTAATCCTACGTTAATTTATACGTAATTGGAAATATAAGGTTTCGTTAATCCAAAGACTCTTACTTCACTTATTAACACCGATGAACCAAAGATTTAAGATCACTTAGTTCTATAGACGCCCCAGGAAAATATATTAATTGTTCAAAATACCCCCACCACAGCAAACCTGCCAACTAAGCGAATTTCCATTTGTCTGATTTGATTTTCAATTAAATCTATTTAAATAACGATTACCTAGGTTTGCTGATACATGGAAACTAATGAAGTGTGTTTTATTTTAAAATAATAATAGCTTAGTATAAAATGAATAAACTTTTAAAGTTTTAACAAAATTATATTCATAAACAAGCAAACTACAACATTTTAGAATATTCTCCATAAGAATAACATCGGACTTTTACAGATTTTTAAATTTTCTCCGTTACCAATAACCGTACAAAAACACTTTGACATACTAAATTATCGTTTTTTAAGCTCTTTAAAAAGGCCTAGAGAAATTGGGAAATTTTGTGTTTTGAGGGTAAAAATTGAAAAACCCCATTTTTACCCCGTAAAGCCCATGGTCCGATTAAAAACTCAAAAATCAAAATTCTTCTTTAAGTTCTCTTATACAGCTTAACAGCCAATTACATAAGGCACTAATACACAATAACATAAATTACATGCACGACAACTACCCTACAGCAAACAGCATACAACTTTGATACATACACTTAAAAAATATTAGCAATTGAAATAGTTTTGAACTGATTTCAAATAACTATATTATTAATAGATAAATAAATAAATAAATTACTGATAAATAAATAAGTAATTATTTATTTATTTTTTTTAGTTCGCTGGTTCGCGAACTCATTCAAGTTTATCGCGCCTTACGCCTTTAAACCAAATTTAATCAAAATCGGACAAAAATTACTAAAAAATTAGAGTTGCAAACATTTGACAAAAATTAAGTTAATGCGTTCATGAACATATATATACACACAAAAATTAATCATGAAAACTCACGAGTCTTAGTTGTATAAACATGATATGTAATAAAAAACTATTTTATACGTATTTTCTATTAGTATCCAAAGTGGCCTATTATCAGCATGATACTATCTACTTATATATATATATGTAGCTTATATATGTATAAATATGAACGAATGGTGTTTTTGGCCACTGGGGATATCAAAATGAAAAAGTAAATCGGTCCCGCACCTAGGTCTTACCGCGCCACCTACGGTAATAGCTACTTCCCTATAGGAAAATTCGCTAAAAAAATTTAAATATCATTTTTTTGCCACGCATGACACCTCATAGTCATAAAATTGTGTTTACACACACTTTTATTTAATCTAATTTTAATAATGCCAATACTAACATTAATACAACCTTCACATAGTGTTCTCACACATTTTGTAATACAGTTATGTTAATTATTAATGTTTATTTCACTAAACTATGATTTCCACAGGCGATTTTATAGAAACATAAAAACAAAATTATTGAATGTAAATATGACAAATTTTCAGAACAAGGGTTGGTTTAAGCTCACCCTCGCTCCCTCAAAACTTTAGTTTGACGAGTATAAGCCAGTCGCCCAAGGCACGACCACCTCCTTTACTCACTAATTGTGCAGTGTTTTGAGTTTATCAGGTCCCAACATCTTACCTTAGTAAGGGTCGCGTCGGGATAATTTTGCTGATTGAACTATTCTTTTCTCCCAAATAATAGAGGTAGCTTAAGCCCCCTTAATTAGATTTAGTTTTGAAAATTCTAAACAAAAGTTTTTGACAATGGGCTGTAAACATTTATTCGTAAAATTTAGATTTCATTGTTTATCTGATTATTGGATTATTAACTATAATATGGATAATATGGATAATTTTATTTAGTTGTTTGGAATTTTCTCATTGATTCATTATCACGGTATTTTTAAAAATGTAAAATTTAGGAAGTAAATTTCACTGTTAAATGCTTCTAGGAAAGAAATATTGGCAGCCCGAGTTATTAAGAAATAAAATAAGACATAACTATCCATATAACAAACATTGAATCATCATAAATAACTATAAGCGAATAAAGTTGTTTGTTTGAATTTAAATAAAATTTTATTTCATTTACTTACATATAATAATCTTAAAAGCTACATAGTTGATTTCCTCATAATGCTGTAAAAAGAGTTCATTTGTTGAAATGTTGGATATTTAACTTATAATGAAATGTTGAATATTAAATTTATGATGAAATGTTAATGTTTAGGTATATTATTTACCTAGCTTGTTCAACCTACATGTTTTTAATTGTAAATATTAAACCCTATCTGCAATCAAATTTAGACTGTTTAGAGTTTGTGCCATTGACGTTACAGCCAGGTTCGAGCTGATTGAAATAGGGTCGAGTTTTACACAATCTAGTTCAAGAGCCAATAAACTAAAAGCGGTGAACCTTTTGCAGTCTTGTAAACACGAAAGTGTAGAATTTGGATATGCTGAAATTTCTTATTTTAATTTGACATTTTAACTCAAAGCAGTATAATTTAATCATGCATCTTATTTATTTAGGCCTAACTATAGTCTGCGGACGTTTAAAATGTCAAAATGCTGATTTCATCTCCATATAAAATGCACATTTTCCCAAAAAGGTATTAACAAAAATATATATTACAATTTATGTATCATAAATCAAAATTATGTCGTATAATATGTTTCATTGTAAACATAAAAATATGTATGTGTGTTTTTATTTTGTTGTATATCAAAGTAGTTTAATATTGATTGGTCCATAGTAAGTAATATTTCATTTGTTTTTGGTATGTAAAAAGCAGTTACTGATTAAATTATGATCCAAATAATTTTATTTGTATACTATTTATAGACTAGCACATCTTTTATAATTTATTTTTAAGATTAAGAATTATAATATATTATTTATTGTCATATAATTTCTTCATATTATTTTTTATACACAACGACCGAGTATAAAAAATTTGAAATTAATAGCTGAATTATTTTGAAGATTTTCCAATGTCGAAATTCATTTTGGGAAAAAGGTAGACACGAGTGAAGGTAGATTTTATGGGGTCAAAATAATGATTAAATGTTAACAAAATATGACAGTTTGAATTGAGAAAATATTGAGTTCTGTTATTTAACGTACTGAGGTCTTGACTTAAGTATTGTTTAAAGTGAAAACCTTGACCTACATTTTTGTAATGCGACAATGCAACAACAGGATGGTTCGTAGCCCACCACAGGCTAGAGAATTACAAGTTCAATTTACTCTTATCACCTTATTTCAATAAAGTTTTTTGTTTGTTAAGTGTGCTGTGTTGAAAAATATATATGTATCCATAAAATGAACAAGGAATACAAAAAGCCCGTTCCGTTTTGTTTCTCGTTTTCCGCTTACAAAATGCACGATTACTCGTTTTATCTCCAAAAATGTTTTACCCTTGTACGTTTAATGAGCAAAATCATGTTGAAAATACAAAAAGAAGAAGAAGATACGAAACATTTTGTTTTTACAATATAGAAACTCAAGCAAGATCCGTATATTTCTTGATCCATCAAGCTTTTCATGATAAGCAGAACTTAATGTTGAATGTAAATAAACAATTATTTAATCCATAGTTAACTGTGTAAAATATCTTCCGTAGGTCGAGACTACTGGTATGAGGAGGCTGGAAGGGCTCTGCACCAGAGGTTGCGAGGATGGGGCTCCGCCCCCTTGGCGGACCGACCTAGCGCCCGCAATATCGTCCTCCTGGTAGGCGACGGTCTAGGGATGACCACCACTACGGCTTCCAGGATATTCAAGGGCCAACGACATGGAATGAGTGGTGAGGATTCCCACCTCTCCTGGGACAAGTTTCCAGCTGTCGCTCTAACCAAAGTGAGTTTACATTTTCATTCCAAGTGCTTTGAATGTTTTTTTTAAGAAGGCTATCATTATTGAACTTGCCCTGTGAAAATTAAGATAAATGAGAAATAGTCAATTTGTTCTGTAATATGCACGAATTAATCGCTTTACTCACATTCTGAATGAGAACGAACCTAAAACAGCGTCCGCTCCCATCAATCGTGAACAATATTCTGTGGTTGACGTGTCTGGATCCAAAATCCACCCCTAACCTACGAAACCGAGCCTTAATTTTACACCCCCTTTATTTGCATAGCTGAAAATACTCAGATATTCTTAATGGTATTCTTAATCTATGGTTTTAGGTCCAAGTCCATAATAACTATTTGCATGGATTACATTGCAAGGCATGTAGCCTCCAGATTGCCGCGGTTACAAAGTGGTTGAAATACCTGCATTATTGGTAATCATTATGGTTTAGTTGGCTACTGATGTCGATTTACAATATGGGACCATCCTTCGGCATTGAAGGACGATACAGTTTACTTGTTAGGAATGTAGTTTGTCATATCGTTACACACGTATTTGCGGCAAAAACACATATCACTTTACTTTAATTCTATGTTTTTCCGTCCTCTGATGCCTGAAAATGGCCCCATGATTGTAAACAAATCCATGATTGATAATATATATCACCGCGGTCGTGTTGAATCCACCGAGGTATTTAAAGCACTTTATGGTAGCTGGATTAGATTGAAGATTAACTGGTTTTTCACTACAATTGTTAGAAAAAAATGGATTACGTTATTCAGTAGTGTAAACATTGTCGTGAAAATGCAAAATAAAAGTGATAGAGTTTTAGCTCTGAAAACTTTGAACAAAATTTTCATTGAACGTTTGGTTGAAAATTATATTTTTATAAGTTTCAAGTGTATAGCTTTCTGTTCAAATTTACTTACGCCATGGCTTTTTCCTGGCTATAAGATCCCAGTAATTAACTATGATGATTTGACTAATTGAAGTAAAAACTACATTATTGTCTCGATTTCGATTGGACACTCCAAACATCATCAGACCCAATAAGCGAATGTCGATCACCACTTACCATCTTTTTTGTATATTTACCGTCTTGTGAGTAACAGTATAAGTGTAAATATATGTTACGTAAGTTTTATAAGACGTTTCTTTTATTTACTTTCCATAAAAAAATTTTCAATATAAATCAACCCTAATACAGCTGGGAATATTTTTTTAAAGGTCAAGCAAGTATATGAATTAATCACTATTTCGTGAACTAAAGGAGTAATCAGACATACTAAACTATACGCATACAATAAACAAAAGTATATAAAACATTCGGGTTGAATGTCACATTTCTTCATGTGACGTTTGTATTGAACTTAGTTGAACCAGAAACAACCTCCACGTATATCTTTCGCAACATTCAATATTGTTTGAGCATCCTAAGTATTGAAATCAACATACAATTTCGTCCAAAATACTAAAATATTTAAAATTTTATAGGACCGTTATTAAAAATTAATGACTATAAATGTTACAGTGTTTGGAAAAAAAACTAAATTAGCTAAGGACTTTTTATTCGTTTATTAGCACAATATTTTGTTCTGTAATAAAATTGGATGCGTAATTATTTAATTTAATAAAAAAGGAAAATTAAATTGAACGTGAAAGTAGGACTTTCATAGTATACAGTAATTCTACGCATAGTGAACTGTACATTGACCACTTTAATATATTCTGTTGCTTTATTTCGTTTAACTGTGATTTTAGCCGTTAAGATGTATTAAAATAATGATAAAAGTAACAATTAAAAATGTTACTTCTTATTTGTGCATGCTTATATAACATGTAGATGTATATTTCTATAACCGCTGCGAAGTGGAGATGGGTAGAAAGGGTCCTTGAGAGATCCAAATCCATTTTCCGATGATAACAACTGTAAATGCTACTACAGCTGACAGACTATTTCAGTTTTTTTCGGGTGGTTGTAATTTTATTAACTATGTAACAAAACTTCCATCAGTATTTATTTACTTTATAACGGACCGATATTTTCGGTTAAGGGGGTAAAAGATCCGGTGGTCAATAGTTGGTTCATTGAATTGGTCATTTTTTTAGATAATACTAATAGATGCTTTACTCAAGTGCAAATCCTTTTTATCCATACCAATACAGTAACAAATCACTTAGATTTTTATTCTATAGATCAGTTGAAAATCCTACACCGTTTCACTTTGAATTATCACTATAATACCTTAGTTCAAATTGCATGATCAAACTATTAGTAACTTAGGAAACTTTAATATAGATCGTTTTAAATATATGGTATTAAAGGTTTAAAGATAAAAAAAACAAATAAAATTCTATCGAAATGACACTTTAGACTTTATTAAATAAAAATGTTTTAACTTTTGACATTGCAACGAGACTAATTGCCTTAATGTGTTAATAGTGAAGATGGATAGTTTGGAGTGGTTTTTGTACTTAAATTGTTTATTTCACTTGAAGTAATCATAAGAAAAATTCTGTATTTATATTTAGCAGTTCTTAGCTTTGATTTCTTATTCATTGTTGAGTTTTTTCCACGCCAGTGCCCTTTCACAAGAGAAGTCATGAGATAATAAATGTTTTGTGGATGTGTCGGTATTGAACCCGACCCTCCCGCACCGAAGTCCGGGACGCTAACCACTAGACTAGCAGCACACCCCTTGAATTGATTTATTTTATTCGGGTAGTACATTAGTGTCACCTAATTGAGCGGAGTGAAGCGAAGCTCTTTGGGGCCAGCTTCAATGTAAACTTTCTAACACTATCACTCAATAACTGCTAACAATAAACTGCTTAACTGCTGTTTTAAGACTAAAACATTTCATTTGTTGATAATGGCTATAGCATTTAAAACTTACTCGAAGTTTTTAAATGTTAACATTGGCTTTATGGGTTGCCATGATGGTTACAAAATAACGACGTAAATGTAAACAAAACCAGGAATCATAGCATATGTTTACAATCAAGCCAATATACGACCTAAATACAGTACAAAGGATAAACATTCTGATCTACTTTACTTTCTGTGTCCGGCCTAAATACCAGAATAAATTACCTAAATACAATACAAAGGATAAACATTCTAATAATGCCCACTGATCAAATAATAAAGAAAATATTACATGCCATTTGGAAACTACCACTGATCGATTAGGTACAGTATTTTACACAGTGTATTTATGTAATTTAAATTAGGTTATAACAAATAATACCCATCTTATGTGAATGGGAATTAAGACAACTACATGAATCAGCAGTTTGAAAAAACTAGGTATTATAAAATCTATATTTTTATCTAAATAGGCTATTATGAAGATGCGGTCTTATTATTTACTTTAAGCAGTGCAAGTAAACTTCCTATCCTATTGTGAAATTAAATGTGGAAACGTTTGAGTGTGCCAATGTCGACTAAATATAACGACAATGTGTTTGATAGCAAAGATATAATATTGATCATAATATGTAAATGAGAGTTAAACAAACAATTTTAATGAGCTGTTTTGACTAATAAAGCATATCGTTGAATTAATGTTTATGTAAGTTGGCTATTAACTTACCAACAAAACACGCGGTCTACTATGGTTCTATACTTCCCAACCTATTGTAAAACTTAAAATATTTTTGATGATAGTATCGTGTTGGCAAGACACTTGATCGTCATGATGTATTGATCAGCATGTTGGCAACGACTTGGGTATACAATTGCCCAAGTAAGTGAGCGTAAAGTAGTTTTTGCGTTTTTGTTTACAAGAAAATATCCAATTCCCCATAAGAGTATCATGTTAAGGGACATTTCAGAATTCATTCTCAAAAACTTCCTAGTATTTGTAGAAAATGAAGAAGTCTTATAAACGCCCGAAACGCATGAACAACTACTTCTGGCAATATTTGTGACAGTTTAATATACACTTGCTTGAAAACAACGCTTTTACAATTTAAATGTACAAAATTTAAGAAAACAGATCTTATAAGGTATGGTAAAAACTATTTGTTCAATTCTCTCAAAGCAGGCAGGTCCTTAAAAAAAATCTCCGATCATATAGATCAATGCAGGATTATTTCGCTCTGCATTGCCAAAAATCTGGACAAGATTAAGAAAATGTCGATCAGTCGGGTTCAACTGGAGCTGTGGGGTCTCCAGATGACATTAGCAAGCAAACATAGAAAAAATACCGATACAAAGTATATGTATGTAATGTCCACATCTTTACCTATGAAACTTGTTATAGATGTTGATATTTCTGAGACAATCTGCTAAGTTAAACTGATAAAATAGTTGTATTATACCTATAAACGTTGTTTTAATTTATTGCGTTATTAAAAACCATGTAACGTGATCGCTCCGCTCAACTAGCTTTCACTGCTCTAAAAACAATGGGCGCGTTCTGGGAACATGTACCGGTGCACCGGTACAGATTAACCGGAGACTTATTCACCGGTACCGCCCCGGGGCAAGAGTCTTGGTATCCCAGAACGGTTATTCACCGGTTTACGGTACACATCGGATTATAATTTACACATTCACCTTTTATTTACTTTATAATATTTAAACCAAACAAATTTGTCCTCACAGAATAAATTATTTGAAAATTATTCACTTATTCGTAGTTTAACCCCCTCATAGAATAAATTATTCACTCATTACGCAACATAACCTATAAAACTGATGAACATTATTCGATGGACCCGCCATCTTGCCGTAGCTGCATGCTGTTGTCCAAGAAACTGACCAATCAGAGGCCGCCGGTGTATTATGCACCGTACAATTTCTCCGGTACATACATCTTGCACCGGTGGAGGAAAAAGAGGAAATAGCTGTCTGCTAGGTTAACTCATTGGTCTCCCAGAACGACACATTTTTTGCACCGGGGCAACACCGGTGCACCGGTGCATGTTCCCAGAACGCGCTCAATCCTAGTACATTATACATGAAACGATACTCCCTGGTGGTGGATTAACGTCCGCACTAGTGAGTACTACTACTATCCGCAGAACAATCCTGATAATTAGACCAATTCGTTAATACCAAGGTAAAATTTGGTTCGGATTCTTCTAAAAACTGTAGGTCCCTTAGTTGCCATTAGCTGTATGTGCTATTAATTAATATAAGGAATATGTCGGCCTTAGTCAGTAACAAGACTAAAAGATCTAGCCACTCATCCTACACTCATCCCCATTCATACTTGGCTTAAAGTACCTACATTGTATGGTCGCCATTTCATTGAAAAGTATTAAAAGTACACTTGCTATTTCAACCCTTGTATTTCTACAGACCTACAATTTGGACGCACAAATTGGGGAGTCGTCCGCTTGCGCTACGGCTTTGCTGTGCGGAGTCAAAACAAACTTCGAGACAGTGGGGTTGGATGCTCGGGGGAGATTTGAGGACTGCTACTCATCCCTCCACTCAAAGGTTGACAGTTTGGTCGTCTGGGCGCAACAAGAGGGTAAATCAGCTTACTGTCTTTATTAACTGTGTTTATGTCAAAGTTTGAACTGTTTAAATCCCCAAGTCACAGAAGTAATACAATCAATGTAACTTTCTTAAAAGAACGAAAGGAAATAAATGACCGGGCACTATTAAGTGAGATGATTCCATTTGAAAATATTTGTATTCACTAATTCACTACATATTCATAATTAAGAGACATTTGCAATTTTATTTACTCCTAATACCAAAGAAAAGACTTATACTTACTTATGCTTGTTAAAATGTATTTACTTATAAATGCCCGATGTTTCAGTCGTTGATAAGCTTCTTTCAAATAGTTTTTTACGTAATTCAAAAATGCTGTAATTGAAACCAAATCAATCAAGCAACTTATTTACTAAAAAAATTGCTGTGTGGTTATTGTGGTTGTACAGTGTTAAATGAATACCATAATGAACATTGTATAAAATTTTTTGCATTAATGAAAAATATAACATCCATGAAAGAAAAGGTAAACAAGAAAGTAAATATTTACAGAACGTATTTTCTTTATAAAACTCTAGGAAATAATTAACAGGTGGATAGGTACAGCCACACCTGCATGTATGTGATAAAGAAGGTGCACAAACCATACAAGATTTGTCTGCATTTTTTTGTATTAGCATAAATTCAACATCATTGATTGATTAAATTCTTTGTTGCACTTAGAATTAATTATACCATGCATAATTTAAACTATTAACAAACCACTGATGCTTAATTTTAATCTCAGAAAAAAACAATTATTTCGGTACTGTACCTAAGAATTGATTGTTGCGTCAATCATCTTTTCTGACCACGAAAATAAAATGTCTCATCCAATTTGAAATCCTGCCGCCGCTCACCACTGGGCTAAGTTGAGATGACAATACGAGCAGAGAGAATGAGATTTTAGTTTCCGTTCCGTGAGAAAAATTTCAGAATGTTTTTACAGTTTATTATTTAATTACTTATGTAGAGGACAGCATTAAGACTATTTATTTAGCTATGGTAACAAAAAATACCCCCGCCGCAGTAAACCTGCAGACTAAGCGAATTTCCATTTGCCTGATTGGATTTACAATAAAATGTCTCCTTAAAAATATTAAATTTATTCCCTATTTAAATAACATTAGTTTAACGAGTACTTAGGTTTGCTGCAACAGGGAGGGTAAAAGGTGTTTTTTTGTAAAATGTTAATAGTTTAGTATGAAATTAATGCATTTTCCAAATGTCATCAAAATATGATCATAAACAAGCAAACTACAACGGTTTACTTATTCTCTATAAAAATAACATGGGAATATTAAATTTAGTTTTTTTGAATTTTCTCCGTAACCATTAGGCGCATAATAACACTTCAATATACTAAATTATTTGTTTTTTTAAGCTCTACAAAATGATTTGGAAAGAAAATGCTAAATTTTAAGTTTTTAGGGTCAAAAATGGGAAAAACCAATTTTTGCCCCATAAAACCCCCCATAAACCCCTGTTCCCATAGTCCGATCATGCTGGTTCGCGAACTCGTTCGAATAAACGTAGGTTAACACGTTTGTACCAAATTTCATCAAAATCGGATGATTTTTGTTCGAGTTATCGCGCTAACGGACACATATATAAATATATATATATATATATATATATATGAATTTGAACGGATGGTGTTTTTGGTCTCTAGGGACCTCAAAACGAAAAAGTAAATCGGTCCCGGGTCCAAGTCTTACCATGAGTACTACGGTAATAGCTTATTCCCTATAGGGGAAATTTGCAACAAAATATAACAAGTCGATACTCTGAAAAATAAAATTGAGCCACTTAGGGACTTGAATTAAAACAAACTACGGATTGAGTGGACTACAGAAAAAAGATCGGTGGCAGTTTGTGCAGATAATGCTGATGTAGACTTTGACTATATCGGTCGAAAATGTGGAATTGAAGCCAAGAATGATATAGCACATATAGCCATGACACTAGAATTCTTGTAGTACCTTTTAATCAAATAAAATACAGCTTATGGTAGTAAATTATTTACATATAAACTAATAGTACCGGGGGAACGAGCCATGGCTCGGTATGTTTATTTCGATTAGTTTCAGTGGAATTTCAATTTATTGTGACGAACTTGGCAATCCACCACTATAATTTATTTTAATCTTACACATTTCTTACATTGTAAATAAATAACACAAATGTGCAAAAAACATAAGTATTTTTATATTAGTTGGTTAATACAGTAGCAATCAGCTACAATAGCATTAATGCAGCATAGTACAGCAAGGGGTGTGAATTATTTCTTAATACTAAATTAAATCTGTCTTTAAGTATAAGTAAAACCACAGCATGAGTATACTCTCTAAAATACTAACATATGACGGATTAGCTGAAGACAGATAAGTCCGATTCAAGCGTTTTCTTACTAAAAGATGATTATAATACAATTAACTTTAATAGGAAATCAACTGAATACAGCTGTCCAAATTTTGTAAACAATAATAGAGTGAATAAAATGTTTAAAATCTACCCTTAAATAAGAGTTAAACATTGAGTTGACGCCAGTGCACTCAAACGTCACCAATAAGAAACACTCACTCTATTTATTTTCTCCTATGTCGAGTAATCTTCAGTAAAATCTTTGCTCAATGTAGTTACAACTGACGTTTTTCCCATTTTACTGTATTTTGTAATTGCCTAGTATACTGTAGATGGCTTGTTATAAACACATGTTACAAGTATTTTGTTTACTTTTAGCGAATTTGAAGTAGCTATTACCGTAGGTGGCACGGTAAAACCTAGACCCGGGACCGATTTACTTTTTCATTTTGATGTCCCCAGAGGCCAAAAACACCGTTCGTTCAAATTTTTATATGTATATATATATATATATATATATATATATAGACTTATATATATATACGTCCGTGAACGCGATAACTTGAGTAATTTTTGTCCGATTTTGATGAAATTTGGTTTAAAGGTGTAAAGCGGGATAAACTTGAATGAGTTCGCGAACCAGCACGATCGGACCATGGGAACGGGGCTTTACGGGGGGTTTTATGGGGTAAAAATTGGTTTTTCTCACTTTTGACCCTCAAAACACAAAATTTCCCGATTTCTCTTTAGACCTTTTTAAAGAGCTTAAAAAAACAAATAATTTAGTATGTAAAAGTATTTTTGTTCGATTATTAGTAACGGAGAAAATTTAAAAAATTCTAAATTTAAAATTCCCATGTTATTCTTATGGAGAATATTGTCAAATGTTGTAGTTTGCTTGTTTATGGATACATTTTGATCAAACTTGGCAAATTTATTTATTTTGTACTAAGCTATCAATATTTTACTCAAAAACACACTTAATTAGTTTCCTTGTAGCAGCAAACCTAGGTACTCGTTAAACCTAATGTTATTAAAATATATTTAACTGAAAATCAATTCAGACAAATGGAAATTCGCTTAGTCGGCAGGTTTGCTGCGGCGGGGGTATTTTCTTGTTATTTTGTTCAACCAACATAGTTACTTAGGAACCCATAAGGCCAATGTTAAAATTTTAAATTTTCAAATGAGTTGTATAACGAAATAAGAATTTTCCTGAGGAAGTGGCTGTCACTAATCACGTTTATAGGGCTATTAGTCCCTAATTCCAAAATTTTTGTTAAAATCCTTCCGCTGGATTACGAGACATATATTTACAGACAGCTCGACTTAACTCGTTTGTGGTGTGTTTCTTGTTTTAAAATAAAACTAAATCTTTAGATGAAGAATTCCATTTAATGAAATACAAGTTAGTTTGTTTACAAAAACAATATAACAATAGTTAACAACCATATGACTTTATAGTCATATGTCATCTCCCTTCTTCACTTATAAGCCAAGTCTTTTGGGAGGATTTACTCTTCGTGGTGACTTTCTACTATCTACATCTTTAACTCCATTTCCAGCTTTACTTCCGTTCACTTTACTTTCTTCTGCCGGTTCTTCAACGGCACAAAAACGTTTCTTCAAAAACCAAGAGTTCCTTCGATAAATATTCCCATCTGGAGTTTCTATAAGGTATGATCTTGGCTCTGGACCTTTTCTTACGACTGTAGCTGGCTGCCAGTCTCTGTGTTCTTTTCTATACAGAACTTTTTCTCCTTCTTCAAATTCTAAGTTGTTCTTTTTTGTTCTGTAACTGTATTGTCTGGATTTTCCCCGAATATTTTGCAATTCATTGTGAACATTTTGAATTATTTTAGGTTGCAGAATTTTATCTGTGCTAGGGACCAGTGTCCTTGTTCTGCGCCCCATTAATCTTTGAGCTGGAGATCCAAGATTTTTCCGGGGTATATTTCTTTGATGAAGTAGAGCTAGGAATACATCCGTCTTTTCTTCTAAACATTTCTTAAGAATGAGTTTAGCCTTTTGAACATACCGTTCAGCTAATCCATTTGATCTTGCAAACAAAGGACTTGAAACCCTTTTATTGAATTGCCACTCTTTTTCAAAATTTTTGAACTCCAATGAATTGAACTGAGTACCTCCATCTGATAATAACGTCTCAGGAATTTCATGTACTGAAAACAACTTTTTGAGTTCAGTAATAACATTTTGAAGATGTTGTAGATTTTACCTCAACAATGTCATAAAAACCAGAGTAGGAATCCGCAACAACAAGATAATCTTTAGCGGATAGGTGACAAATGTCAGTTCCTATTTCCATCCACGGTCTAGTAGGTACTTCTTGCTGTAATAATTTCCCTCGTTATTATCTTTTTGGAGCTTTGAGCATATTTTGCAGTTCAAAACATAATTTTTGATTTCGTTTGTCATGTTAGGCCAGAACACGTATTCTCGAGCAAAATTTAGTGAGTCTTGTATTCCTCTGTGTCCTAGGTGGATCTGTTTTAGTGTAAGTGGACGAAGATGCATGGGAAGCAATATTTTTCCCCTTTAAAAATTATTTTTTCATGAACTGCTAGTTCATCCCGATAATTCCAATACTTGTGTAGCTCTTCTGGCAAT